TTTTGGTGAGTATTGTATATAAATATATATGTCAATGTATGAGGCCCTGTTAGTTACTCAGTGTTGCTACTTGCTAGCATTCATTAATTATTTAGATGCTATCTTTGTTCTATATCAAATGCATTTTTTTGATGATTTGTTTGAATGACTTATTCTCACTTCTCTTGAGAGAAGTCTATTTTGAACATGTAAACATTATAAAATATTTCATGTCTTTCTGCATTGTACTCATTGTCATATAAGGCTTGTTGATGCATATTTATCAAGTTTTTAGTTTTTGCATCCGCCTGCATATTTATCTAGTGCCAGATGTTTTTTTTCTTTTATTTTCAAAATGTTGTCTGTGTATGATTGTATTCCATTGATCTTCATGTGAAAGTAAGTCGTTGCTCACCGTGCTTTTTTAACAAATGATGCTTTTGCATCACTTATTTGACTGCTAACTGCTACAAAATCTAATGCATATGGCTGGTTTCCTCTGTAATTCCCAATTGCAGCAAAAATATCAAACTGGAAAGATGTTGTTTTGGCTTATGAGCCCGTGTGGGCTATTGGAACTGGAAAGGTTGCTACTCCAGCTCAAGCTCAGGAAGTAAGTTTGGTGTTTTTATTTTAGAACCGTATTGTAATTTGTTTTTTATTTGCTTTTATGATGTATACAATTTATATTTCTTAGGTCATAATTTCCGTTTAATTTCTTGGGACGATGATGATTGTCTTGTACATGATTTTCCTTTCTGATAGGTTCATTCTGAGTTGAGGAAATGGCTTCAAGCTAACGTCAGTCCTGATATTGCTGCATCAACCCGTATTATTTATGGAGGTATTTCACATTATCCGTTTACTCTTGCCTCTAATAATTATTATGTACTTTGACTTTCATGGATCCGCCTTAAAGAAGCAAGGGCTGCAAGGTTAGACTGAGCTTGTCTGTCGACATGAGTTAGCATGGTCAATGATCTCATTCAAAGCAAGTTGACCAAGATGCAGTCTTAAAATAACATTGTTATGATTTTAACCTTAGATTCGTGTAGGGTGAAGGAACCAAAGCTTATCGGCGTTTAGATTACGAGGTTTAAGTAAGAAATCACTAGGGTACTGCATTCAGCTCTAACAGCATCTCGGTTCCCCATCTTGGTTCAAAGAGAAATCTTGAGTAGATCAACTGACATGACTCTCATTATGGTTTTTTGATGGAATAGAATATCAAAATTCGAGCATTGTTTTCTTCTCCATTTCTTCCCTTTGTTATGAACTGGATGCCTGATTATTTTCAGGGTCCGTCACCGCTGCAAACTGCAAGGAACTAGCCGCTAAGCCGGACGTCGATGGTTTCTTGGTTGGTGGAGCTTCACTCAAGGTAAACACTATCGTTCCTTCTCCTCTCCTTGTCGTTGTCCCTTCTGTTCTATTTCAGGCTCGTTCTTATTGTTTTATGTCGTATTATCTGCAGCCGGAGTTCATTGACATTATAAAGTCTGCTGAGGTGAAGAAGAATGCCTAAGATCTGATTCAAGAGTACTTGCAGGCGCTGTTGTTTGGGAATGCAGAAGGTAGAGGATCTGTTCCATAGTAAGAGCTTTTTAAGGAAATAATAATTCATGCCAGAACCGTAAACTGGAATTTTATGTATTATTATTAATCAGTATGTTTTACTATTTCCTGAGTAATGCAATTTTCATTTTAATAAGTTTTATTCTCATGATTAATCAATATGTTTTACTATTTCAGTTAGGGTTTTACTCCCTATTCCTTCTATACCAAATAATTATTTTAAAAATACATTATTTATTAAAATTATGTTTTGTCTAGTTAGAATAAAATAAACCAAACGAAAAGTACGAAAAATTAATTGATAGTGAAATAAAATTTTTTATTACAATCTGAGATTTCTTCATTTTCTTTAGCACGAGTTATGATAACCTTAAAGATACTGACGTACTGTCACATATAATGTGATATTTCTAGAAGTATTAATGTAAAAATAAATATCTAAATTATATTTATAATTAATTTTAAGTGTTTAAAGAATTTTTTTTTTGTTAAAATTAAGTGTTTAATGTTTTTTCTTTACAATTTTAAGTGTCAATTATTAAAAAAATTGTTAAAAAAATATTAAGTGATATGTGTGATATTTATAATTTTTATTTTTATTTTTAAATCCAAAACCCTTCACCCCTTCCTCCTATTACCACCTTTATCAGTTGTCACTGTTGTTCTCGTCGTCATCACCGCTTCTCTTTCTACCGTAGCATCATTCTCTTCTGCAAAAACAGAAAAATAATCTAATATTTTTGAGATTAGAGTTAAAGATTTTGGATCAGGGTTACTGATTTAAGTTTAGGATTTTGTGGATTAAGAAGATTGGGATGATAACAAAAAGGATGATCAGTAGTGGAGAAGTGGGTGGTTGTTCGACGATGGCAAAGGCGGCCGATAATGATTGACACGGCTGATATGGAAGTTGGAATGAGGAATTTTTGAGTTTTTTCCCTGTAATTTCAGACATTTATTTATTTTTAAATTAATAATATTATTACCTTTTTATAAAATAAAATTTTTAAAAAATATTAAAATAACATGTGTCAGTTAATGGTTAAATTTAACAATCTATTACGGGATAGGCATCAAAAAGTTTAATGTTATAAACATTAGATATATATTTTTAGTTAAAAAATTTTTAAGCATCTAAAGTTAAATTTGAATATAATTTAAACACTTATTTTTTTATATATTTTTAACATCTCCAACATATATTTCGATAAAAAACACATTTAAATAAAACAAGAAAAAGGAGCACAAGCAAAAGATGGCAAGAGCTCAGCCCAAAACAAAAAATATTCTCGAGCCCTATAGATTTAGGTGACGTTTGGTTGGATGAAATCTCTTAGAATTGGGGGAATTGAAATTCAATTTTACCACTTTCTCATGTTTGATTCAAGTTTTCCAATGAAATTGGAATATCTCATGGCTTCAATTTTCCATTAAATGAGGGAAATTAAATGAGGGAAAGCGAATTCCATCAAAGAATGAATTGAATTCAATTCCCTTATTGAAGGGAATTGAAATTTGATCATATTATCATTATCAATCTTTTGGTAACTTATTCATATATTGAATAAAAATATTTTTTTATTATTTCGGGTCGGGTTTCTAATTCATATATTCGGGTCGGGTCGATGAAACTTTATTTTGGTCGGGTCTGGTCGGTTTTTTTAAGTGTGATATTCGGGCCGGGTCGAGTTCGGGTTTAGGGTGAAAAATACTCGACCATAAAATATATATAATTTTACCTTATATATTTAGGAATAATTACAATAATACCCCTCTATATATATATTTTTTTCAATTAAGTCACTGTTTTTATTGAATAAAAATATTTTTTTATTATTTCGGGTCGGGTCTGGTCGGATTTCTAATTCATATATTCGGGTCGGGTCGGGTGAAACTTTATTTTGTTCAGGTCGGGTTTTTTAAGTGCGATATTCGGGTCGGGTTTTTTAAGTGTGATATTCGGGTCGGTTCAGGTTTAGGGTGAAAAAAACCGGACCGACCCGAAAAAATATATAATTTTACCTTATATATTTAGGAATAATTACAATAATACCCCTCTATATATAATTTTTTTCAATTAAGTTAATATTTTTATTGAATAAAAATAATTTTTTTATTATTTTGTATCGTGTCGGGTCGGGTTTCTAATTCATATATTGAATAAAAATAGTTTTTGGTATATTTTTTGGTAACTAATTAACATACTCCGATTGGAATGTATCGAAATATTGCTCTATCTTTTGGTAACTTATTAACATATTTTGATTGCGATGATTTTAACTTATGATGTTTATTAGCATGATTTTTATAATTTATTGAAATGAATAATCAATCAATAAAATAAAAATTTAATATTTTTAAAATTTTTATAATATATTACTACATGTAAGTTGTAAAACAAACTAAAATAAAGTAAAAAATAAAAAGGGCAATTCTATCATTTTACATTACTAAAATCAAATTTATTTGACATGTCTGCGAACCAAACATAATATTGAATTGGATTCCAATTCTATTTCCTGCCAACCAAACAGAATATGGAATTGGATTTCAATTCCTGACAGATTCCAATTTCTTCACATATTTCAATTCCCTCATAAACATTCCAGCGAACCAAACGCCACTTTATTGTTTGGATTTAAAATTCAAGACCTGCTCAGATGTCAGCCATATATAAATTGAAGCGAAAACTACAGTATTAGTCATTAAACTTTAAGTTATTTATCGAATTCAATATTAAACTATAAAATATTTTGATTTTAACATTGAACTTTGGTTTATATTTTAACTATTTCATTGGGCCATTAAATTTGCAAATATGTGATGACGTAATAGTTTGATGCAATGTAGAAGATAAAAACATTTTGTATTCTATCTTATCACATTCTTCGTCAAAATTGTCATTTTTGATGTCTTTTATCATTTTATCGGCTCAAGTTTTCTTAAAACATATTTAAAATTCATGAAATTAAACATAAAAGACATCATTTTTTGGAATTTGTGGAAATTTTAAAAACACGAATAATTTACCTTAAAATCAATTTTATTAGACGATTATCAGAGGATATTAGAGCAATATATGTATATCTAGATGAATCTTCTTTGATTTAAGTAAATTTTGTGAAAAATCAATCCGAAAAGAAGAAATATGAGTGAAATATGAAAATTCTAGTATCAATCTTATCATAAATGGTGATTGATAACGATTAACAATTGACTAACAACAATGACCAGAGAGGAGTTGGTAATTTTTTGTAAGAAAAGAAGAAGAAGAAACAACCACATTATCACGATAGTTAACGATTTAATGACTTAATGATCAAATTGAAATACAAATTAAAATTCAGTTCTAAAATTAAAGTTCTAAAATTTAGTACCAAATCAATACACAAATTAGGGGCTAGTGTTGTAGTTTACCGTAAAAAATGTTTTTAAAAAGGGAAAAAACGAAAATCAATTCCCTTACGCATAACGCAGAGAGAGCAAAGACAGGGGAATCGTGTTCGTGCATTGAAGAAACTAAGTGGTGAGTCCAGTTCACAATGTTCATAATTTTTTGTTTATAATTTCTTTTTTTTTTCTCTTTTAGCATTAATTATTCGATTCGCTCCGTTTATTTGCAAATCCCTAATTTTTTTTATATATTCTGTTTGTTCTGTTTATAGCCTTAGGAGTTGATTTTATTTTTCTGGTTTTCTGGGCAATGGAAGATTCAGAAAAAAAGAGGCATCGTGAGAGGAGAGATAGGGATAAGGATAGAGAACGGCGTCGTTCCGAGATGGAGAAGAGCGGCGATTCCGATAGAGAAAAGGAAAGGGACAGAGAAAAGCATCGGGAACGGTGTCGTTCTGAGAGGGATAATAGCAGTGATTCGGATAGAGAAAAAGAAAGGGACAAAGAAAAGCATCGAGAACGGCGTCGTTCTGAGAAGGAGAAGAGCAGTGATTCCGACAGAGAAAAGGAGAGGGAAAAAGAAAAATACCGAGAACGGCGTCGTTCCGAGAGAGAGAAGAGCAGTGATTCCGATAGAGAGAAGGAGAGGGAGAAAGAAAAACACCGTGAAAGAGGGAGGGAAAGGAAAGACAGGGAACGGGAGAAAGAGAGGGAGAGGGAAAGAGCTAGGGAGAAGGAAAGGGAGAAGCGTGAAAGGGAAAGAGAAAGGGAGAAGAGAGAAAGGGAAAGGGAAAGGCAAAGGGAAAAACAAAGGGAGAGGGAGAGGGAGAGGGAGAGGGAGAGGGAGAGGGAGAGGGAGAGGGAAAGGGAAAGAGAAAGAGAAAGGAAGTTAAGGGAAAGGGAGAAGCGGAGGGAGTATGACAGTGATGATAGTAAGGAGGAGAAAGAACAAAATAGGAAACGTCGAAGGAGGGAGCAGGATGATGATGATGACTGTAATAATGATTATAAGGAGAAGGAGAGCAAATCAAATAGAGGAGAGAGTCCGGTTAGGAAAAAGAGCAGCATAGAAGAGTCAGAGAAGGGGCAGAAAAGTAGGGAGGAGGAGATGGAAGACGAACAACGTAAATTGGATGAGGAGATGGAGAAAAGGAGGAGGAGGGTTCAAGAATGGCAAGAGTTGAGGAGGAAGAAGGAAGAGGCAGAGAGAGAAAAACGCGGGGAAGGGAATGCTGTGGAGGAGGAGGAGCCTAAGGTTGGTAAGGCTTGGACTCTCGAAGGGGAATCGGATGACGATGAAGCCAGATCTCCAATGAAACCAGAGACAGATATGGATGTGGATGATAACGAGAAATCTAAGCCAGATGGTAAGGAAATTGGAGATGCGATGGTTGAAGATAGTAATTCTGAGGATGGAAAAGATAAAATGGTTGTCGACCAAAATGGGGGTAATGAGGGTGCTGTGGATGAAGATGAAATTGATCCATTAGATGCTTTTATGAATTTAATGGTGTTACCTGAAGTTGAGAAGCTAAGTACTGCAGTTGTTGATCCTCCTCCTAGTGGTAATAATGGGAACTTGAAGAATGACAAAAAAGATGGCTTGAGTAATGGTGGACTGCAGCAGCCAAAGAAAGGCTCGAACAAGGCACTTGGGAGAATCATTCCTGGGGAAGATTCGGATTCAGATTACGGGGATATTGAAAATGTCGAAGAGAATTTAGAAGATGAAGATGATGATGAGTTTATGAAAAGGGTAAAGAAGACAAAAGCTGAGAAGCTATCGATTGTTGACCACACAAAGATTGATTATAAACCTTTCAGGAAAAATTTCTATATTGAAGTTAAGGAGATCTCTAGAATGACACCTGAGGAAGTGGCTGCTTACAGGAAGGAATTGGAACTGAAGTTACATGGAAAGGATGTGCCGAAACCAATCAAAACCTGGCATCAAACTGGACTCGCAAGTAAAATATTAGAAACAATAAGGAAGCTCAATTATGAGAAGCCAATGCCAATTCAAGCTCAGGCGCTGCCCATAATTATGAGTGGTCGAGATTGCATTGGCGTAGCAAAAACCGGCTCTGGTAAAACCCTAGCTTTTGTGCTACCTATGTTAAGGCATATTAAAGATCAGCCACCTGTAGTAGCTGGAGATGGACCTATTGGGCTCATTATGGCACCTACAAGGGAGCTTGTCCAGCAAATTCACAGTGACATAAAGAAGTTTACCAAGGCAATGGGAATCAGATGTGTTCCTGTCTATGGAGGTTCTGGTGTTGCCCAGCAGATTAGTGAATTAAAGCGGGGAACAGAGATTGTTGTATGTACTCCAGGTAGGATGATTGATATACTTTGTACTAGTGGGGGGAAAATTAGCAATCTGCGTAGAGTGACATACTTCGTTCTGGATGAAGCTGACAGAATGTTTGATATGGGTTTTGAACCTCAAATTACTCGAATTGTTCAAAATATTCGACCTGATCACCAAACTGTGCTATTTTCTGCCACATTCCCTCGCCAGGTCGAGATTTTGGCCCGTAAAGTATTGAATAAACCTGTTGAAATACAGGTTGGTGGGAGAAGTGTTGTGAATAAGGACATAACTCAGTTGGTCGAGATGAGGCCAGAAAGTGAAAGGTTCCTAAGATTGTTAGAACTTCTCGGTGAATGGTATGAGAAGGGGAAAATTCTGATCTTTGTCCACACCCAAGAAAAGTGTGATGCTTTGTTCAGGGATTTGCTCAAACATGGTTATCCTTGCTTGTCACTTCATGGGGCCAAGGATCAAACTGATCGAGAATCCACCATTTCTGATTTTAAGAGCAACGTCTGCAATTTGTTGATTGCAACAAGTGTTGCAGCTAGGGGTTTAGATGTAAAGGAGCTCGAATTAGTGATTAATTTTGATGTTCCAAATCATTATGAAGACTATGTTCACCGTGTTGGTAGGACTGGTAGAGCTGGAAGGAAAGGCTTTGCTATCACATTTATCTCTGAGGATGATGCAAGATATGCACCAGATCTTGTAAAAGCTTTAGAGCTCTCTGAGCAAGTTGTTCCTGATGACCTGAAAGCTCTTGCTGATGGATTTATGGCTAAAGTAAATCAGGGACTTGAGCAGGCCCACGGAACAGGTTATGGTGGAAGTGGTTTTAAATTCAATGAAGAGGAAGATGAAAAGAGAAAAGCAGCAAAGAAAGCGCAAGCAAAAGAATACGGGTTTGAGGAAGACAAGTCAGATTCAGAAGATGAAGATGAAGGGGTGCGGAAGGCAGGTGGTGACATATCACAGCAGACAGCACTTGCTCAGATAGCTGCCATGGCTGCTGCCTCCAAAGCTAGTACTGGTTTGATGCAGAATCCTCTATCATCTGCTCAACTGCTTCCTAATTCTGTGTTGCCTATTTCTCTTCCTGGTGTGCTTGGTGTGTCAATGCCCAGTACTGCAGCAGTTGTTCCTGGTAGTGGGTTGCCGGGTCTTCCAAATGAAGAGGCTGCTCGAAAAGCTGCACTGCAAGCTGCTCTCAATTTACAGCATAACTTAGCGAAGATTCAAGCTGATGTTATGCCTGAACATTATGAAGCCGAGTTGGAGATTAATGAATTTCCCCAAAATGCTCGATGGAAGGTTACCCACAAGGAAACTCTGGGCCCAATATCGGAATGGACCGGAGCTGCCATTACTACAAGGGGCCAGTATTTCCCACCTGGTCGGATCCCAGGACCAGGAGAACGAAAGCTTTACTTGTTCATTGAGGGACCTTCCGAGCTATCTGTTAAGAGAGCTAAGGCAGAACTGAAACGTGTCCTGGAAGACATCTCACACCAGTCCTTACAACTTCCTGGCGGGACTCAACCTGGCAGATACCAAGTTTTATAGATGTAAGAATTCATCCAACTAATATGCTAAATTCTCTTCAGTAAGTTCTTTGTAGATCTGCATTGTCTCTCATGATCAAGTTCTTTATGGGGTATGAAACAAACCAATATTTGTTAACTAAAATTAGCCATAATTTGTAGTGCTATTGTTTGAAAGGGAAAAATTAATGATGGGATTAAGGTGGCATTGGTATGGTATTTAATTAGTGTTATCTCCTGTGGGGTTTCATTTGTGTGCATGTTAGTGGGAGTCGTATGGTGTATGATGTTGACCTTAATGTACTATGGTTTTGATATTCAATAAAACTTTGAGACACTTTTCCACATTCCAATGTCCTGTGAAATATTTTATATTTCATAAGGTATGAAGGGGGTTTTTAATGAGGCCTCCCATTTTTATCAAAAAAAAAATGAGGCAAAGTAACTTTTTAGATAATTGATTAATGACGCTGATGACCATGGCAAAGTAATTTGGTGCAAAATACAGTCATCTGGACAGCGAATATATCAGGATGTGAAATGAGAACAATGTGATATGCATCATATAAGTTCTATTATGTTATATGTCAATGACTGATTTCTTTGTTTTATTTCTAGATGCTTGATTTAATCCCGTCAATCAAGTGACAGCTTGTGACCTGCTTAGTTATATCTCTTTGATTTATGTTTCGACTGTCAAATCACGATGTTTGAAATTCATGATCTATTCTTGAGATAGGGCTTTTAATAATTTTGGTCACTTGCTTTCGATTGCCATATATATGTGGTTATTTGGTTAACTTCGTAAACCTCCTGTGGAATCAAAAATGAATATGCTGTTTCATATTGTTGCCATTTGCTTATTTAGTTGCTCATCTGATATTTCAGTTGTTTCCTTATTCATTTTGTTGAGGATCTTATTCTATTTTATTTTTTCAATTTCTGATCGCAGAGATAGATCCGTTACTAGCTCTCACCTTTATGGGAGGAACTATCGCAAAAGTACTAGCTGATAAAGGCTGATTTTCTTACGTGCATGGTTAACCTCTGCTGAGATTCATTTAATACTGGCGATTAACAAGGGTTCTTTTCTTCCTTTTCTTTCTATTGTTTTTCAGGCCTCAGAAGGAATGGACTATCGCAATACTAGCTGATAAAAACTGATTTTCTTATGTTCATTCTGATGCATTGGCTCGTGTTACCTGGCCTCGGATTCACTAGTCCTTTAGTCAATTTCATATGGATGGTGCCTTGAGAACTTGGTGTAGCCAAAAGTCAATTAGTAGAATGGGATGCTTTATTTCCAGAACCATATGATATGATGGAGTTTCTTTCTTTTATTGTCAAAAGTGTTCGATGATGTTTCTATATTATTAATTTCCCTTTTGATGAGGAAGATGATGTATTTTTTTCATGTCTTAGGTGTTACTGAAAACATTTTGCCCCCTTATGCGAATTTCCGTGCTATCTCGGGAGGATCAATCTGAGATTGCATTTTGGTTTTAAAAGATGTGGATGTCCTGGATCCTTGGAAAGTTCATACTTTAGCCATATTTTGTTCTTTTTTTTTACTTGAAGGTTATATGTATGTTAGATCTAATTCCTATCTGAAGTTGTGAACAGCATATAGCAAATGCCAGCTGGGTTGGGATTTGATTTGTGTTTGGAAGAAGAATGTCATCACAATAGATGATTACATCCAGTGGCCGTGTTATACAAATGGATTGCATCTTCTCCGAGGAAAAGCTATCGATGGTGCATGGTAGGTTGATGTTTTTGGATCCCGATAATAACTTTGCTTCTTTTTACGTCTTGTGCAAAATGTTCAGTGCATTATGATTATATTGTCAACGTAACAATCATCCATTCTTGTTCGAGTGTATGCCTTCGAAATTGTGTTGCACAATACCGTAATAGGAAATTTGAGACTCGAACATATGGGTATAGGCATTATTGGGACTGCACTTCCTACTTTTTGTTTGCTAACCGCAACAAGCAGCTTGGTGATTTTTTGTTTAATGTTCCGATGGCAGCGGAGGCATTGAATTGGGCAGATATTGTTTTGGCCAATTGGCTTGTGTGGGTGATTAGTAGTTAGAAGTTGGCTGCACCATCTCGAGCTCGACAGAAGCTAGGTGAGTGGGAAGACATATTTTAATATCAGAAGCACTCGGTTCTGTTTAACCATGTCTTTTATACTGTCATTCGTAGACCGTTCTCCCGTATTATGCATCCAGACTCCTCGCCATTGATTTTTCTGACTCAAATTAGTTAGTTAAAGAGATGAGATTGTTATGTGCCTCTACAGTCCGGTCCGGTCCGGTTGAGTCTTTCTTGGATAACAAGGTTTTGTTAAGCAATCTGTGCAACATTAGAGGATAATGGTTGTGGTCGTGTATTCACCTGTTTTGATTTAGGTAGAGAGTCGTGGTCATCGAAGATGACATCAGAATCTGTGCTCATACCTGATGACCCGAGCTTTGGGAGAGAATAGGCTATAGGTTGGTTTAGGCATTATGAGGTTCGTACGTCCAACCTAGTCGACGGGGGTGATAAATAAATATTGCTTGTCATATTGTTTTTATTTTTACTTAAATTATTACTAATTCCATTAGAAGAGCAAATCCAATCAGCAATGTGAGTTTCAAAATTATTTTATTCTTTAATAAATAAATATTATCCGTAAACTAGGGTTAGTGGTAGAGGATTAATTAATACAATTTTATATGTATTATATAATAGCTTCTCGTATAAAGACGTTGGAAATCATTTTTATTTATAATTTACATTTATTTTTAAAAAATATATTAATTATCTGATTGATATGGAGGATTATTATTTATGTTTTTATATAATTTATATTAATCAGTTTTCAACTTCTTATATAATTTATATTCACTTACAATTGATGATTTAGATTGGAATTGACCTTTAAATTTTAAGATGTTTTAATTAAGTTTTCAAAAATATCAATATTATATTAACTTGTACGATAAATAACAGAGCGAGACAAAATTTTATGTATGCTTTAATTTTCTTATGCTTATAAAGAATAATTTTATTTTTAAAATTGAAATATTTAGTCATCTCTTTAACAACTTTTAGTAAATATTTTTTTATATTCTTTCTGATTATTAAAATTATGTTTACTTTGTAATCAATTTTTTTTTTTGTAAACTTCACTATAATTAGTGGGATCAATGGTTAGAAAGGCTTAATCAATCACGGTTTTTTAAATACGAATTTAATCGATCCATGATTAAAAGTGAAAGCTAAGTTTATTTATTTTTTGAGTATAATTAAAGAAGCCAAATATATATGTAAGTGTTTTTTTTTAAAAAATAAGTTATTTTATTTTTCGAATCAAATCATTCAATCTTTAAAGCTTGAGACAAATTAATATTTACAAGTAGAATAAATCAGAAAACAAATTGGTGATATTATCCTCCAGTTAAATGGATTTGAAGATGGTTAGGTCGAAGGCGAATCCATATCCAGCCGACTCTCGGACCGAACGAAAATGGTGAAAAGAAGGAACTTTAACCTGCTTGAACGTAAAAAGGTACTATTTCGTTTGATGTTGGAGTCAAAAGGTTAAGCTAGGAGGGTTTTAGAGAGAGAGAGGATATCTAAATTTTTTTAAATCAGATACAGATCACTGTTAACTTAAATTTGTTCTTATGAACGCCACCAAACTATAAGAAGCGATGAGTATAGTTTCGGGGTTATTCTTCTCGAGACGTTAACCAGCAAGCGAGCATCGAACAAGAACAGATCGTCTGGAGAGTAAAATTTAGTTGATCGGAGTTATGGATGCTCGTATTGAAGGCCAATACACGCACGGAGTGGCATTAAAAGTTGCATATCTCGCGCAGCAAAGCCCCTCTATCGAACTGAAGTCTAGACCGAACATGCCGTGGTGGAGAAAACACTCGAGCAACTTCAAGCCTCCGGCGACGATAAAGGAGGTCATCGGAATGCATCGGTTCATAGTTCTCATCCGAATTCGAAGTATGCTCTCAAGAAAAATACCGAAGAAGCCGAAGCCAAAAAGACTTTTATCATATAAGAATACTTTTATTTCATTTAATTTTCAATCAACGTACAAATTTATTTAATATTGAACAAGGTGATCATCCTCCCCGACCCTTAAACATATCTACTTATGATAATAGAACCGATTTTCGTTTTCCGATAACATCTCTTAATTTCAACCAAGATTCTTGACAAGATCTTCGACATTTTCCAACATCTGTTTAAGCACAATAACTTCGTCGAACTGCTGTTTGTCTGGCAATTGTGCTTCCACACTCGTCAATTCTTTCTCGCAGTTCTCGACATTAGCCACGGCAGATTTCATGTTGTATTTCTCCGCATCGCGGTTCCTGATTTCCATGGCTGTGCGGAGTTTGTCAAGTTCCTTCATAGCAGTCACGACTTCGTGGTCGCATATTCCGTATTTTGCCTTGACCTCGGGCGTCAACGGTTTAGGACCTTCGAGCACGGTAGTCTTGAGGTTACGAGATACGTCCGAGGCATTATTAACGACGATTTTGATAATTATGGACGCGATGACTTCCGGCCTGGCGGTGTCGGGGAGGTATCGGCCGATGTATGATTCCTGGTAACTCGACATGCAAAGATCCTTGTGCCGGAGCTTTTCGCAGATTTTGGAGACGTCGGGGGCGGCGTTTAACGAAGGGAAGAAAGAAAGACAAATGAAGAAAGATAAAACTAATGCAACATTATTTGCGATGGGATTCATCTTTTTAGACTGTAAATTATTGATTTTTTTTTTTACAATTTGTGGAATTGGAAGATAAGTTGAATGAAATTAGAGAAGGTACAATCTTTTTATAGTTTGTGTAAAGTTTGTTATTCAATTACTAAAAAAATAAATGCGCTTAGCCATTCATTGTGACCCTTAAAAATAGCTATTTGTTGTTAGATTCAAGTTGAATTAATTTTATTTTTAAACTAAATAGAAGATACTGAGTTAATTACGTCACATGCCTCAAAGTATGAGTCTTATTTTAAATTGGTCCCTAATTTTTTGAATGTTCCATTTGTTGTTAGATTCAAGTTGAATTAATTTTATTTTTAAACTAAATAGAAGATACTGAGTTAATTACGCCACATGCCTCAAAGTATGAGTCTTATTTTAAATTTGTGTAAACTGTGACTACCATTCTAAATTAGTCCCTAAACTTTTTAAGATTTCAATTTCATCCTCAAACTATGACCTTCATTCTAAATTGGTTCTCAAAACTTTTTGAACATTCCAATTTCATCCCAAATTATACGTATGTACTAATTACATCTCTTGTTAATAAAATTGTTAGGACAAGGAAAAAACAAATTTTACATTAAATTATGGTTGAAACTAATTACATATTTGGATGAATTTGGTGATAAAATTGGAATATTCATAAGTTTGAGGATTAATTTAGAAAGAGAATCATAGTTTAATAATAAAATTAAAATATTTAAAAGTTTAGGGACTAATTTAAAATAAAAGACATAGTGTGGGTCATATTTCTATCTTTCTTCTTCAATAACAGACTATTTAATAAGTTCTAATATTGCTCTTGAATATAAGACAAATGAATAGTTATACCTTTGTTATTTACACTATGTTATTTAAAATTTTCATTTTTTAAAATATTTGTATTTAATATTCATACTCATTATATAAACAAGAAAATATAATTTATTCCATGATTTGTACTTAGATTTTTTTTATCCTTTCATCTATTTTAGCAAACACAGTTATATAGACTTATTTTTCATCATAATCAACAAATACCAGTGGTTTAGTGGTAGAATAGTATCTTGCCACGGTACAGACTTGGGTTCGATACTCAACTGGTTCACTCTATGAAACCATGATAATGATTGTGCTCAAATGAAGTTAGGGTTCTTTATAATCATCTGATTATAAGGCGACGCAATAGCGCTTCTGAGCTTCAATATTGGTTTTTTAATATTTAACTTTGATATATAGTATTTCATCTAATTTTAACAAATAGAGTTATATAGTTTTATTTCCCATTATAATCAACAAGCACTAATGGTTTAGTGGTATAATAGGACCTTACAAAGATATAGACCCAAGTTTGATTCTCGGTTAGTGCACTCCATGAAGTTATGATGATGATTATGCTCAAGTGAAGTTAGGGTTTTTCATAATTGTCCAATTAGAAGACGACGCATTCAATAATGTTTTTAATATTTAACTTTGATATATAGTGTTTCATCTAATTTTAACAAACATAGTTATATAGTTTTATTTTCCATCATAATTAACAAGCACTAGTGGTCTAGTGGTATAATAGTACTTGCCATGGTATAAACCTAAGATCGATTCCCGATTAGATGACTATGTAGTAGCGCTTCTGTGCTTCACTATTTTTTTAATATTTAACTTTGATATACAATGTTTCATCTAATTTTAACAAGAGTTATATATATTTATTTTCCATTATAATCCACAAGCACTGATAGTTTAGTGGTAGAATAGTACTCTGCCACGGTATAGACCCAGGTTAGATTCTCAGCTGGTGCACCCCATGAAGCCATGATGATGATTGCGCTCAAGTGAAGTTAGGATTCTTCATAATCGTCTGATTACAAGACGACTCAGTAGCGCTTCTGAGCTTCAATATTTTTTTTAATATTTAACTTTGGTATATAGTGTTTCATCTAATTTTAACAAACAAAGTTATATAGTTTTATTTTCCATCATAATCAACAAGCACTTGTGGTCTAGTGATAGGATAGTACCTTGCCATGGTTCAAACCTGTGTTTGATTCCCTGCTGGTGCACTCCATGAAGCCATGATGACGATTGCGCTCAAGTGAAGTCAGGGTTTTTTATAATCGTCTGATTACAAGACGACGCAGTAGCGCTTCTTAGCTTCAATATTTTTTTTTTTAAATATTTAACTTTGAGAAACAGTGTTTCATCTAATTTTAACAAATATAGTTATATAATTTTATTTTCCATCATAATCAACAAGCATTAGTGGTCTAGTGGTAGAATAGTACCTTGCCACAATACAGACCCGAGGTTCAATTCCCGGTTGGTGGACTCCATGAAGATATGATGACCATCGCCCTCAAGTGAAGTTAGGAGTTCTTTAATGTTTTTGTGCAATATGCTTTTATCCATATGTGATTAAATACCATTTCTTAAAGTGTGAGTATGTGAATTGACCAAACTAAACTTGGGTTCTTAAATAGCATTTACTTTAAGGTTTACCTGCATCCAAAGATTGCAATATGGAACAAGGTTTGAGCCTTTGAGGATATGAAGGCAGAGATGGAAAATGGTTGGGTTGGGCTGGGTTATTTGTCAGATCAACTCAATCTAAGAAGCATACACTCTCTATCTGAACATGATTCAACCCGAAAAGTATATATCTTTAACCTGACCTAATTCGATTTGAGAAAGCATATTCTCTCCATCTGAACCCGTTCTAACTCAATATTTCGGGAGCAATTATATCATTGAATTTATAGAAGGAAATTATACTAATATCCTAAGTCGTGTCAAATTAAAGATTTTCATCGTAAATTTGGACCCGACTCGATTTAAACTCAGCCTCTATAAAATTTAATCTGAACACGATTGTTTTTAAATATCATTATCAATTTCAGGTTAAATTGACTTCCCTATATGAAACACTTAGGCAACCGTAACTCACAAGGCTTCAAAGATTATCAACAAGTAATCTTAGATTTGAGCTATAATAATTTTAAACTTGATTCATACATAGATGCATGCATACACACATACTCCTAAAGTGAGCCAAAAGATTGTAGTACTAGAATAGATTAAGACTTGTTAAAACCACAGCATTATTACATAAGAGGTTCAAAGGTATTCTGATACAAACAGCACATGTTTGAAGGGGGAGATTGGCAATGATGAAAACCAACCAGCATGTCCTATATCATGATTGGAAATGGTTCGGCAGAATCGTTAACATCGCTTTTGCCCGGCTGCTTCTCAAGGAACACATCGGTGAGCACAGTTTTGGACTGCAATGATGCCTTCAGCAACTTCACACCCTGTTTGCAGAAAAGGCAAGTATAAAACCAATGTCATAGTATCAACAATGAAAGATTCCAACATTCTTTAAATGTCTCCCTTTTTATGTAAGTAATGGGGATTGTTTCTTACCTCATCCATTCCAACATCAATGGTTTTCTCTTCAAGAACTCCAACATCCTTGATATCGAACTTATTGAGTAGAGTAATACAAGAAATGGCTGACATGGGCCGTACAACAAGATCATCCATTATCATGTAAGTAATAACCCCTTTGACATACCCTCCCTCATCAGTGGATGCATCCTTCTTCTGTTGATTAACAATGGTTGCAATTTGGCTCATATTATTACCGCAGGAAGGGCAAATGGATCCAGAATGGTTTGCAACATAGAGACTGCAGCTGCTTCGGTGGTACATATTACCACACCTATAAATTTCGGTGGATTTCGATGAATCGGCCGTTGGAAGCAAGAGAGGCACAATTACAGCATTGTTGGGGACTACAGGCTTCAAAAGGGTGTCTTTGCTTACTGTTGGCTGAATGTAGGTATCGTTCATCGTCTCAAGGCTGTGGCAAAGATTTCCGAGGCAACCCACCATTTCTTGTTTCGTGAGAAGCGATACGATGGTCCCAACGGGCAACGACAGAATGTTGAAAAGAAAATCAACAAAATCTTTCCCAGCTTCAGCAAACAGAACCCTTTGGCTTGTTGACTCTAGTAGAAGCTTCAAGCTAATAGTGTTGGCAGCCATGTTGTGAACACTATTGTAAATACTGATTTCACAGATGTTACTGAAAGTAATGGAGGACTACTGGGAAATGGATGGCCTAAGCAAATATATGGGTGCTCTTGTTGAAGTGAGTAACAAGAGATTCTTGCCACTACTTTCAAGTCTCGTATTGCACCTATTATAAGCTTATAACATAAAAGTGGTATGATTTTTAGATCATTTAGCTCTAGAAAGTGCAGAGATTTATAATGTAAAGGAGATGCAAACCTTGCTCAAAGAGAGAGGAATAAATTACAAACAACCGTAATTTTTACAAATTCTTTCCTTCAAGATATGCTTCTACCTTCTCATTTCATGCCCTATGCAATTCCACTCCCTATCGCAAAAGGTTTAAGTGTAGCCAATGTTATTAAGATCAAGTGTAGTACCTGTTATTATCGGTTAAATATCTGATACATGGGTCATTGGCCTACATGATATGAAATTTATTTTTTTAGGGGAAAGCTTACCACAGTAGCCGGCTACTGGGGCTTTTATGTGTTGCACTATAGGCTCAGACTAGGCACGCCCCATCCCATCTCAGATAAAAGGTTTGTGTACTGAACTTGGTTTCTGAAATTTATTTCCATCATAAGATTCGGGACAAGCACAGACAATCTCGAGAACATAATGTCTGTTGATTGGGCTAAACCTTACGTTACCAGCAGACATGAATGCTAGTATCGAAGGCCAATGTATGCCGGATGTGGCGTTAACAGCTCTGATTATCTTGTGGTGCAGTGCCTTTCTATAGAACTGAAGTCTAGACTGAACATGCCTGCAGTAAGGAGGAATTTTTAAGATTTTGGCGACAACAAAGAGAACCCTCAGAATACGTCGGTTCATAGATCTCATCTGAATTCGAGGTATGCTCCGAAGAAGCTCAATGAACTCTGCAATGGAAACGTTATCTCAAGTTCCGGCCATCTGCATCTCCATGAACCACATAAACCGAAAGCTGAACACAATTATGTTGTATACATAGTTAAATCCACATCTGAATGATATAGAATAATGCAGTGGTGAGCTCTCCCTTCATGTTGCCCTTGAATGTAAGACAAGATGCATTTCTACTGCTCCCTGGGATAGTACTGTCAAACATCCTGTTAAGAGGCATAGTAGATGGGAACATTAGAGACCTGTAACATTATTTTAGGAGCCACGGCCCCTCCACTATTCAAGTAACAGTTTAGGGAAAACAACTTTGAAAGGAGAATCTAACGCCCAAATGTCAAGCCAAAATCGAATTCGAATGTTCTCGCCATTGCGCAATTGGACTTTAAACAAGCTGCGGAACTTGGAACCCAAAAAAAATCTTCTTTGAAATGATTATTCACCACCGATTTGCAAAGTCAAGAAGCTTGAGCTGGAATCTATTGTTGAACAATAATAAGCTCTTGTCCATATTTTACTTGTTGCAAATCATTTTCCTCCATACGGACTCCTTATAATTAGCGAACCTCCAATACCACTTTACTAAGAGAGCTCTATTCATAAAATTGAGGTCCAACACACCTAGACCGCCATTATTTTTGGCTTTACACACTGTCGACCAATTTACCCAATGAATCTTATTCTTCTCTACTCCTCCTCCCCATAAGAACTTTGCCATAATGTAATTGAGTTTTTTTATTCACAGAAGAAGGAATCTTAAATAAGGACAAATAATTAGGAAGCGAACACAATACCGCCTTTAACAAGACCAATCTCCTTGCCAAAAAAAGTGTTGTTGCCTTCCAACCGGCAAGCTTCTTGTAAAATTTTTGGACAATCGGATCCCATAGGGTTGTTGAATTTATGTTTCCACCAAGTGGCAGCCCAAGGTAATCATAAGGGAATCTTTCAACTCAGCAGCCAATAGCCCTCGCCCACTCCTTTACCTCCTCTTCGCTAGTATTTATGCCAAATAATATGCGTTTATTGAGGTTCAGTTGAAGACCAAACATGACTTCAAATACTCGTAAAACTCTATTTACATTTAATATATGTATCTTTGAGGCATTATAGAAAATGATAAGATCATCTGTAAATTGCACATGCGATAAGTTAAAAGAGCCCTCATTTCTACCTAAAACCAAACCATATAACAGACTCGAACCGCCTTAAGAAGCAATAAGTTGAGAAGTTCCCCCATCAAGTTAAACAGCAATGGGGAAAGGGAGCAGCTCTGTCTAAGACCCTTTGCCATTGGAAATTCCTCAGAATGTACCCTATTTACCAAAACTGACATCGAGACTGTTGTTTCTTATCCAACCACACCATTTGGTTCTGAAACCCATCTTCTCCATCACTTTAAAGAGAATTGGTCAATCCACCGTGTCATAGGCCTTCCTAAAATCCATCTTGAACACAACCCTTCAATCTTTTTTTCCTCCGATAGTCAATTCCTTCATTAGAAATAAAATAAAAATAGCAATCCAGGACAAGATTGCATACACAAAAAGAACTTATAGCTTAGTGAACTCTTAATGCGTACAAATGAGGTCTACAAAAACAATAGCTTCAAGTTAGAAACTATATAACAAAGAAAAACCATTTAACCACGAACCCGATCATCTTCATTTGATGTTTGTTGAGGGGGTTTCTTTGAATCAGATGGTCAGTCAGCTCCACAATTTTGTCTATTGTACTTTGTCCTAAAAGGATAGTTGACATTTTTACTTTTCTCATAATTTGTTCTGAAAATATAACATAAGACCAACAAAATTAAAAATATTTTGGTGTTCAATTGGATATCAACAAATCAGAGTGGCCCAGCGGAAGCGTGGTGGGCCCATAACCTACAGGTCCCAGGATCAAAACAGTGTGAATTTTTTTTAGTGATCTAAACTTCAAAATCCCAACAATAAATCCCTGTTTAGACAATGTCATGAGCAAAAACACGGAAACAAAATTATCAACTTAAGAATTCCTTGAGGCCTGCAGAGGCTTGGCAGCAGATTTCTGCAGGGGGAAAATTACCAACTTAATTTTAGAAACAATGAGAAGCCTATAAACAATGACTAATATCTAGAAATATATACAAACAAATGGAGCAATCATATATTAACAAAATATTTTTGAAAGAAATATAGAGGGACGTTGAGAGATAAGAGCATGACTTACTGAATTATGATCGGCTGACCTTGGTTGAGTGCAACTATGCATAGTACAAGTAGTCTTTAATGAAAATTGATATTCACATAACTAGAGCATGTCCAATCATGCATTTTGCCAGGATTTGAACTACAAACACAACTCATCATTTGGCAACTCTATCAGACAGAAAAAAACTTTTTATCAACAGTAGGCAATTATCCTAACCATTGAATTGTGTTTAAAACATAATATGGTAACGACAGGATGAGGAAATGATATAATGTGGGGTACATAAGACTATTTTCATGCTTTCATTCACTACATGCTACTTCTAAAACACTGGAAATAAAGTCAGTGGTTTCATTCCAGGTTCACATTATAACCTATAGTCCTTGCCCGCTTTCTGGATTGATACACATGGACATGCTAGTTTCATGTGTGGATATAATGTGTGGCCGCTATGTCAATTATTCCTAGTATCACTTAGAATTCGACAAACAAGGGTTTATCCTTGGGTTAGGGCAGCTATGTCGAGGGCATCATTGCAAACCAAGACAGTGCTTACTGCTGTATTCCTTGGGAAAGAAGATACTACATAACAACTTTTGCTATAAAACCCATCATGCAGCTTACCGAAGAGCCAAAAAAACAAACAAACAATGGTTGCTTACTCTACGTAACCCCCATCTAACTGAGGCATTCTCTCCTCAAGGGTAAGAGATAACTATTGATCATTGAATTCTCAGGCAGTAATTATTAGCATTAGTTATCAGTTCCTGGTGGATTTTGAAAGACCAAAGAGTACTATTAGAGGTTACTTCATTTATTGAAGGTTACTTCAGTAAATATAGATCATTGGAAGCATTATTAACCACTTTGAGCACTGCCAGGCGACAACCTCGGACCTTCTTAAAACTCAAATATATCCTATATTACTAGTACTCATCGAAGTGTAAACAAAACCAAATCAATGGAAAGAAAGACAAACTAAACTAAAATAAAAGTGGCATGCAAGCATGTGTTTATCATAATGCAGGAAATACAATAGTAGTTTAAAACCTGCACATACTGAATGTGAGAGTGAGAGAGCGGAGAGGCAGCTGAAAATCTTCTTTTAATGTGGATAGTTTGAAGTACGAAAAGCTTAGTGATTTCTTAATGTGTACAAATGAGGTCTACAAAAGCAATAGCTTTCTACTTCGTCCTAAAAAGATAGTTGACAATGCTACTTTTCTCATAATTTGTTCCGAAAATATAACACAAGACAAACAAAATTTAAAATATTTTGGTGTTCAATTGGAAATCAACAAATCAGAGTATTGCAGCGGAAGCATGGTGGGCCCATAACCCGCAGGTCCCAGGATTGAAACCTAGTTCTGATATTTACTTTTTTATCCCTACATGAAAATGCAACCAGTTTTTATCCTTTTTCCCATTTCCTACATGAAAAATGCTTTGGTTTCTCTGTTAACTGAATTATGATCAGTTGGTCTTGGTTGAGTGCAACTACGAATATTGCAAGTAGTCCTAAATGAAAATTGGTATTCACACAACTAGGGCATGTCCAATCATCTTCCCCGCCACTAACTACAAATTTAAGCATAAAATTTTAACATGTTCAAAATCAAACACCAAAATCTATTACATAAATAAATAAAAACTAGGAATGGAGAAAGATTAGCAAGGCGAATGAGATTTAAGATGATTTAGCAATAGATGTATTAGAGTTTGATGTAAATAATAATAGTTGAAAGAATTGGAAGAAAGAAAAGATTACCTGAGACAATGAAGCGATGCCAAATGAAAGAGAGAGTAAAAATGGTGGGAGTGGAAATTGGGAATTAGACCTACCAAAAATGGGCGGTAATGGGCAGTAACGGACTTATATTTTGGTATATATTTTGGTTAATTTCTGCTATTAGTCCTTGTATTACATATAAGTAGCAAATTCAAATTATTTAGTCCTACTTTCAAAGGTAAAAGGGATATCAATTGATTGCATAAACAAATTGCAAACTGAAAAACCTGTTTAAGAACACTTACAAGTAAATAATACAAACACCATATGTATAGAATTTCTTGTGAAGATCACATTGTTTTAATTGCAAATCTAATTTAGAAAGAATCCATACAAAATGAAACATACTTCACTGCTAGCATAAACCCATGAACAACTTATGATTTTACCGGTAGAAACTGAAGGATCCTTTGGTTACTGAAATTTAACAAAATAAAAAAGCAAAAGCTAATTCAGCAATATCAATCTCAATTGCAATTAAAAGGTTCTGCTGTATTCACTGTTTCGTAGAGTAAAACAGACCTAACCCAAAAACAAAAACTCAAATCCCAATCTTAGGTGCACAACACCTGCGATGATGAACATCAGACCCAGAAAACACTCTAAACTGCAATCTGAAGTGGAAAAAAAAAACCAGAAAAAAGTTGAGAAGAAATAT